GGGCCCAGGCGGGCCTGCAACAGGCTGGCCACTAGCCGCAGCTCCCGGCTCAGCTGGGACACTTCCTGGTTGAGGCGAGAAATCTGTCGAAGACACGTGGAGGTGTCTCACAGTGCCACAGGTGCTGCCCTCTGGTTTTCGGAGCTCCGCACCCTCACCCTGGGAGGAAGGCCCGGGACAGACACCGCAGTATCCTTCCAAGAGGGATTGGGCAGCAGGCGGTGCTGTTCCCCTCCCTCCCTGTGACTAAATGTAGACTCGTGCTCCGAGAGCCGCGGCCGGGCCAGGCCCTCACAAGCTCAAGCACCTGCTCCGTGGTGTTCACACTCTTGCCAATGCAGTCAGTCACAGAACGCCTGGAAGATCCCTGGGCCCACCCCAGCTCTATCCCAAGGTGAGCAAGGCCCAGGAATCTGCATTATTTTCAGCACTTGAGACTGACCCCCGGGCTGGGGTCTTCACACTGAGCTACACATCCGCAGCCCTTTTTACTTCGACAGGGTCTCACTGAATTACTAAAGTGCCCAAACTGGGCTTGAATTTTTGGGGGAGGGTACTGGGAATCGAACTCAGGAATTGGCGCTTGCCAAGCAGGCATGGTGCCCCTGAGCTACGTCCCCTGCCACTGGGCTTGGATTCTTAACCCTCCTGCCTCAGCCTCCCAGAGTGCTGGGATGGCAGGCGGGCACTTGCACACTCACCAGGAATCTGTACTTTAAGAGCTGACAGACACTCAGGTTTGGGGACCACTGGTCTCAAAGTGGAAGACGCTTGTGGCAGTGAGAAACAGGCCTTCCCCTATCTCCAGTGTGGGGCGGGTCCTGCCCTGGTTCAGGCTCTGCCCCTGGGGTGCCAGCTGTTTATCAGAGCCCGGGCAGGACTCCCTGGGGTGGGCCTGGCTGCGCTATGGCGACAACACAGGTCTGGGATCCCTGGGGAGTGGCCCACAGGCTCTGGGCTCCTCCAGGCCGGGTTCCCCAGACACGAAAGCCTCCTCCCCAGGCTCATTTCGCAGGGCTGGGGCCGCATAGAGCGAGCAGGGGTCAGAGGAGGGGCCTCACCGCAGGGCTGGACTGGATTTCTCCCATTTTTGGGTGAGGAAACTCAAGTCTAGAGAGCTCCTGGGGCTGGCACAGCCGGTGAGAGGGTCGGAACCCAGGACCCTGGCTCCTGAGCCCCAGGACCATGGGCGCCCGCCTCACCCACCTCCTGGTTCAGCCTGCAGACTTTCTCCTTCACTGCCTCTGCCTCTGTGGCCAGCTCTGGGCTCGTCCTGGTGCCTGCAGGACAGGGGTGAGGGTGAGGCTGGGACAGGGACAGGGACTCTGTGGTGGGCCGGGCAGGGAGCAGGGGAGAAAGGGCTGTGGTGTCGGGGACCCGGAAACCCAAGGTCCTCGGCTGGTTTGCAGGCCCTGGAACTCCCCAGATCATCCCCAGCCTCTCCAGGCCCAGACCAGTGTCCGTCTGCTGTGTGCACCCTGGTGCCTTCCAACGGCTGTCCTGCTCCACAGGCCAAAGTCCTGCCCTAACCACGTTTTCTTTTCTTGTACTGGAGACTGAATCCAGGGCCTTCACACTGAACTGCATCCCCAGGCCTTTGTTCAATTTCTTATCTTCAGACAAGATCGCATTGAGTCACCGAGTTCCTCAGGCTGGGCTCAGAGCTGTGATCCTCCACTACAGCCTCAAGAGGGCTGGGATCACAGGCATGGGCCACCATGCCAGCAGCTCACGTGTCCTGTCCTCTCCTAACGGAGTCATTTTTTTTGTCTCAATTGTATTTTGTACCTGATTCCAGAATCCCTTATCTGGACACACAGTCGTCCCCCACAGTGGGAGGGGATCCCCCACGAGTGTTTCTGTGCATTCCTAGCCTGGTGCCTGGCATGTGGGATGGATGGATGGGTGGCAGGTGTGAAGGGTGAGCTGTAAGCTGACATCTGCCACTGGCCCTTACCTGCCAGGGGGCCCTGGGAGCAGGGCCTTGGGGGCTCAGGCCTCCTGCTGAGCCGGAACGTAGGGGCCTCAGCCGTGGGGCCCGAGTCCTCGATGCCATCCACTACCCTGGGGATGGGGCAGTGCCCGTCAGCACACGGAAGGTGTACAGGCCTGAGCGGTGCAGGTAGAGGGCCAAGGGGCCTTGGCCATGGACCGGAGGGGGCCCCGGTCAGAGGGGTGGGCAGGGCAGGGCAGCTGAGGTACAGGAGACAGCACGTGTGGGAACGCCGGGGACGGCGCCCCGCAAGGGTTCTAGAAGCCGGAGGGGTACAGAAAGGGCACGGGAGGCGGCGTCTCACCGGGGACTGAGGTCTGGAGGTCCGCAGGTTCCCGGCGGGGCAATGAGAAGCTGAGGGGGCCTCCGGGCAGGGCAGCTGAGGTACAGGAGACAGCACGTGTGGGAACGCCGGGGACGGCGCCCCGCAAGGGTTCTAGAAGCCGGAGGGGTACAGAAAGGGCACGGGAGGCGGCGTCTCACCGGGGACTGAGGTCTCGAGGTCCGCAGGTTCCCGGCGGGGCAATGAGAAGCTGAGGGGGCCTCCGGGCAGCGGAGAGCCGCAGGGGAAGAGGACCCCCCCTGGGCGCCCCGGAGCCGCCCTCTGGCTCCGTGATGGACGGCAGAGTCTTGTCTGAGGAAGAGCCGAGGCTGTTGGTGCGCGGCTGTGGGCAGAGGGAACAGCAGTGCTGCGGGAGCGGGGACAGCAGGCCCTTCCTGGGGAACGGGGGAGCAGGGTCCCCACCCAGCGCCCAGAAAGGGGGTTACCTGGGAGAGGCGGGGGGACCGGGCAGAGCGGCTGAGGGCCTGTGGGGACACCAGAGGTTCGGGCCGGCCCCCCACCCTGACCCACCCAGCGGGGCCCAGGTGTGAGGCATATGGGGCCGTCGTGTAGAAACAACTAGACACCCCCAACTCCGGCTCAAGGAATCGGGGCGAGGCCAACGTGCCCCCAGAACATGGGTCAAAGCTGGAAGCAGGGAGGAGCACAGCTGGGGTCGGAGAGGGGAGAGGCCGAGCTGACATCCCCAGGGACCAGGGTGTCACCCGGGCTGTCTGGGGCTGGGGGGTCAGCTTTGGAAGAAGGGACCTCGGGGTCCACATACGCTGGTGTCAACGCCCTGGCGCAGGTTGAAGGTGAGGTCGCGGGGCAGGCTGGCCCGGAAGACGACCCCGTACTCGGGGTACAGCCTCAGGACCTCGGCCAGCCCCTGGCTGTTCAGCTGCTGCAGGCCGCAGTAGGTCAGGGCTCTGACATCAGCGCCGGCCTTCAGCACAAAGCCCGGGCCTGCCCCCGGCTCAGGGACGTCTGCCCCAATCAGGTCCCCCTTCCCTGCAGGGAGGGACAGCAGCAGTCAGCTGGGGCAGGGGGCTGAAGATGGTTGGATGGATGGATGGATGGACTGATAATGGCCGGAAAACGGGTGGCTGATGGATCCGAGGGATGATCAGTATGCTGAAGGATGTTCACAAGGGCTGGGTCAAGGGCTTGTGGAGATCAAGGGAATTGGGAAAAGGTCGTGGAGGGTGACAGATGGAGGCAGGGAGGCCTAAGTGGCTGCGTGGGAGGGTTGGGGAGTGACCAGTGGAGCTGGGCTGTCACTCACGCCGTGGCCGGTTAAAGAGGAAAGGCCAACGGAGCTTGGGTCATCAGCCAACGATCATTGGGGGTAGGAGATGGGCAACAGGAAAGGACCAGCGGACTTGAGGAACAGTCACGGGGAAGGCCAAGGGTTAGGGAGAGGAGTACGGCCCCAGATGCCTGGCTCTCCCCACGGCCCTGGGGACGGCTCCTCACCCAGGATGGCCAGCACCGTGCTGTCCCTCAGCACCTCCAGGGAGCCGGAGCGCACGTAGTAGTGCGCCTGAAGGGCGTCCCCGCGGCGCAGCAGGTACTCGCCCGGGGCACAGAAGGAGGCCTTGATGTGCAGGGACAGTGCCCGCAGGCAGCCCCGGCTTGCAGGCCCAAACAGCGGCAGCTGCAGGATCTCCCGGTTCAGGTGCATGGCGACGTCGGCCCGCAGCTCGTCTGGGAAGTCACGCAGTAACTGCATGGGGGGCACAGGTCACTGGCCGTCCCCACACCTGCATGTGCTCTTCGCCGACCTCCAGGAAGCCCGCGTGTCTGACCGCATCTCACTGGCTGGGTCCGGCTCCCAGCCTCGCTCCTGGCAGAGACCAGAGTCCTCCTCCCAGTTGGACACCCGGGCTGTGCCTGGTCACGCAGACATCCCGGCTCTCAGCCCCCACGGCCAGAGCCACCCGGCCAGGAGTTGGGAGGCTGGGAGAGCGGCTGCCACTGCTCGGGGTCCCTGTGGGCCTCGGTACCCACAGCGGCCAGGTGCAGGGCTAAGTGAGGTCCAGACGCTGACCGGGACTTCACAGGACTGAGCTCCGTCTGCGTTTTGGTCTCCTCTGGGGAGCTCCCAGGCCCGTGGGAGGGACATCCTGGGGCCGGCCCCTCTCCCCCTCTTCCT